CTGCTAGTATTAGTGGAGAGAAATGGTGCGCAGACGCATAAGGGAAATGAATGCAACATGACTATTGTAATCTGTCATTAGTGAACGTTGTAGTTCATTATTAATAATTATGTATAACAGAATATTGTAAAAATTAAGTTAGGAAATTTTTATTAAAACATTTCTTACATACCATTATATTGGCTGGGCTGCAAAAATATTCCTTGGGGGCTGCATGTGGCCTGTGGGCTCTGAGTTTGACATGCTTGGTATAGATAATAGACTATTGGTAGGCAGGAGACTGGGCAGGGTGATCAGTGAGGAATATTTTTGCAGAAGTGATGATAGTTTGGATTAGAGTTGTGGGGCCAGTAGAGGTGAGAAGTGGTTCTTGTTGAAAGTTTAATATATATACATATATTTAATTTGTCCTTTAAATTTATTAAAAAATTTTCAACATCTTTATTGAAGTATAATTAACATATAATAGAGAATTATATGTATAAGTGTGTTTGTATGTTTGTGTCTGCATTTCTATAATAATAAAAGCATAATATGCTAATTGCCAGGGCTGTGAGGGAAGCACGGGTCCCAGGTGCCAGAGGGAAGCCGGCGCTGGCAGCCATGGGAAGGAAGGCCTACTCTTGCATGAATTTCATGCATCAGGCCTCTAGTATATATTTATACACATGTATATATGTAAAACATAGATGATTCAGTGGTACAATTCAGTGGTTTTTAGTATATTCACAGAATTGTGCAACCTATACCACTATCTAATTTTAGATTATTTTCATCATCCCAAAAAGGAACCCATACTCATTAGAAGAAACTCCCCAATTCCCCTTATCTTTCCCTCCAGCCCTTGGCAACCACTAACATACTTTTTGTCTCTACAAATTTTCTTATTCTGGATATTTCATATGAATGTAATCAAACAATATGTGGCTTTTTATGTCTAGCTTCTTTCACCAGGCATATTTTCAAGATTCACTTATGTTGTAGCACATATCAGTACTTCATTCCTTTTTATATCTGAATAATATTCCACTGTATGACTATACCACCACATCTTGTTTATCCATTCATCAGTTGATGGACATTTGGGTTGTTTCCACTTGTTGGCTATTCTGAATAATTCTATGAATATTTACATATAAGTTTTAGTGTAGACATGTTTTCAGTTCTCTTGGGTTTGTATATATGTAGGAGTTGCTTGTTTAAAAGGTAACTCTATGTTTAACTTTTTGAGAAACTGCCAAGTTGCTTATCAAATACATAGTTAACAAATATTTTCTCCCAGTCTGCAGATTATCTTTCAGCTTCTTGATAGGTTCTATGAAGCACAAATGTTCTATTTAATTTAATTTAAAGCACAATTAATTTTGATGAAGTTGATTTATCTATTTTGTCTTTTATTACTTGCGCTTTAGGTGTCATATATAAGAAACCACTGTCTAATCCAAGGTAAAAAAAAAGATTTACATGTATGTTTTCCCCTGAGAATTTTATCACTTTTCTTCTTATATTTAGGTCTTTGATGCATTGTGAGTTAATTTTTGTATGAGGCAAGGCTCCAGATTCGCTCTTTTGCATGTGGACATCCAATTGCCCCTGCACAATTTTGTTTAAATGATTATTCTTTCTCCATTGATTGTCTTGGCACCCTAACCAAAATCCAATGAACTATGGATGCATGGGTTTATTTTTGGACTCTCAAGTCTACTCCATTGAGCTATGTCTATTTTATGTCAGTACCAGAGACTTGATTACAGTAGTTCTATGGTAGGTTTTGAGATCAGGAAATGTGAGTCCAGCAACTTTGCTCTTTTTCAAGATTTTGCAGATGTCTGTGTGTGTGTGTGTGTGTGTGTGTGTGTGTGTGTGTGTGTGTGGCGGGGGCAGAGGGGCTATTCTGGCTCTCTTGCATTTACATGTGAATTTTAAAATCTGCTTATTCACACATACACACACACACACACACATCTGAAATTTTGATAGGAACTACACTGTTTCTGTATGTTTATTAGAAAATATAGCCATCTAATAAGTAATATTGTCTTCTAATCCATGGACAACATACAATGTCTTTCCATTTGTCATCTATACTTTCAAAGAAGACCTGATGGGAATTTCTCACAGGTTTGACAAAAATAAAAAAATCTAGTAAAATTTCTAGGTTTAGGGCTTGAGTCACTAACCTAGGGCAAATGCAGGTGCTATTTATTAAAATGGAGAAGACAGAGAGAAGCAGATTAGGGAGCAGAAATCAAGATTAGAATATGTTTGGAATATGTTTGAAATATGTCTGGTTTGAGATGTCTCTTACACATCCAAGTGAAGATGTTTAGTAGGCAGTTGAGTAATAGGTGGTCTAGAGTTTGGGGGTAGAGATATAAATTTGGGAGTCATCAAAATATAAGTGTTACTTAAAGCCATGAGGATGCATGACTTCACCTAAAGGGAGATAGGAAGAAGAGAGTGTCTAAGGACTGAGACATGGGGCATTCCAACATTTATCGATCCTTGAGAGGGAGGCTACTAGCATAAGAGGGTTGAGAGTAGAAGTAAAAAGATAAATTAGCAATACCTTTTCCTTTCTGTATTCTAATGCTTTGACATTTGATGACTCTGGGGGGACTGCCCCTCCTAGAATTAACCAATGTCTCACAAAGAAGTTCATCTTTCAAATGCACACCAACCAACCCAGAACCCATACCTCCAACCACCTTTTTATTTTTCCCCTTGGTTCCCACACACTGTGCCACTACTTATCCGCCCTAATCACTCCAGGGCCAGGTACCAGAGGACAAGAGACAGACTCTATGCCTCAGAGCCTACTGGAATTATTCAAATTAGCCAATTCTAAGCCTGCCTATCTCACCTTGCCCATTCCTTCCTGTGAAAACCACAATAAAGTCTCCTGCCCACATTTCCCCTTCTCCTTCCGCCCCCATATGACCCTGATGCTTTCCTGGGTAGCCCCCTGTGGTATAACATGTTCCTTTCTCTTGGGAAAGAGGATACAATTTTTTTTCAATGACAGCCATTTCCTGATTTGTTGACCTCACCATAGCTAAGTAACAATA